GCATGAGAGGGGGAGGATCAGAGGGAGAAGCAGACTCCCCGCTGAGCAGGGAGTCCGATGCGGGACTCGATCCCGGGACTCCAGGATCATGACCTGAGCCGAAGGCAGTTGCTTAACCAACTGAGCCACCCAGGCGCCCCTAAGATTCATTTTCAAACTCTCTCATGTGTAATTAGGTATGACTGACTTCTTATTAAAAGCTTTCTAACATCCTTAAAATTCAGAGTCCTACTAAGGTTAAACAAAACCTTAGTTGAATTAAAAGGTTTCCCACATTAATTTCACTCATGAGATTTTTCTTCTGAATGAGTTTTCACATGTTTGGTAAGAGATGCATTTTGTTTGAAAGCTTTTCCACATTCATTACATTCATAGGGTTTCTCTCCAGTGTGGGATCTCTGATGTATAATAAGTTGTGACTTCACATTGAAAGCCTTTCCACATTCATTACATTCAAAAGGTCTCTCCCCAGTATGAGTTCTCTGATGTACAATGAGGTGTGACTTTTGGCTAAAAGCTTTCCCACATTCATTACATTCATAGGGTTTCTCCCCAGTATGAACTCTCTGATGTTGAGTAAGGCCCTCAATTTGTTTGAAGGCCTTCCCACACTGATTACATTCAAAAGGACTTTCACCTGTATGAGTTCTCATGTGGTAAGTAAGAGAAGAGCTATGTCCAAATGCTTTTCCACATTCATTACATTTATAGGGCTTCTCCTTAGTATGAGTTCTTTGATGTATAAGGAGGTGTGACTTCTTGCTGAAAGCTTTCCCACATTCATTACATTCAAAGGGTTTCTCACCTGTATGAATTCTCATATGTTTAGTAAGGGATGAGCTATATTTAAAGGCCTTTCCACATTCATTACATTCATATGGTATTTCACCTGTATGAGTTCTCACATGTTCAGTAAGAGATGAGTTATACCTAAAGGATTTTCCACATTCCTTACATTCATAGGGCTTCTCACCTGTATGAGATCTCACATGTTGAACAAGATTTGAGCTGTGTCTAAAGGTTTTCCCACATTCAGTACATTTATAGGGCTTTTCCCCAGTATGAACTCTCAGGTGGTCGGTAAGGGCATGTTTATGACTGTGGGCTTTGCCACACTGAATACATTCATATGGTTTTTCTCCAGTGTGAGTTCTTTGATGTACAACGAGGTGTGACTTTTGGCTAAAGGCTATCCCACATTCATTACATTCATACGGTTTCTCTCCAGTGTGAATTCTCTGATGGTCAATGAGTCCTTGTTTATGGCTGAGAACCTTCCCACATTGATTACATTCATAGGGTTTTGCTTTAGTTTGAGTTTTGTCACACTTAGTAGGAGATGGGCTATGGCTGGATGATTTCTCATGTTTCTCTCCAGTTTGAATTTTGTCCCATTTAGTATCGGATGAGCTATGATGAGCTAATTTCTCATGTTTCTTGCCAGTTTGAGTTTTGTCATGCTTATTAGATAAGCTAGGGTTGGAGAATTTTTGTTTCTTTCCAGTTTGATTTTTGTCTTTCTTTGTATCAGGTAAGCTATGGCTTAATGATTTCTTGTGCTCTTTAGCTACGCTAGGTTTCTTTTTTGCATAGTTTCTTATACGACCAGGTAAGTCTGAATTCTGTTTCAAACTCTTTCCATGTGAATCGAATTTAAGCTTTTTTTTTGAAGGAACATGTTTTGTACTCACACTCTTTTCCCCCAGTGAACTACATTCATGGCTTTTCTTCTTAGTCAGACTTCTTTTCTTGAATGCAACTTCCTTAAGGAGTTTGTTTTGAGATTCCTGGTGGTTCGCTGGCTGGTCATTACCTTGCTGGACCTCGTCTAAAATGGAATTCAGTAAGAATTCAATTGTGAATCTTTGCCCTCTCATATTTTGGAACACAACTTATAAAAGAAATGTACTATTGTGGGGGCTGAATCTTTACTCAAGCTTAGTATCCCGAAGTGAGTGAATTATCAAGTGCAAATGTCCCTAAGCTCTTGGGCTTGAGGGGAAAGTGCTGTAGGAAAAACAAGAAAAGTTAATTGACAATAGAAACTAGACAAAACTTTGCCTGTTTATAAATATGACCTTGCAACCTGGGATGGAAGATGAAATAAACACAAGGAGCAGTGACTAGGTAACAGATGAAGTTAGAGGAGCTTGTGATTGTAGTTGATATTTTTTGAGATTTCTCCTAAGCCCAAGCTTCCCAGCTTTGGTAACAGCCAATCCATCCACAGTATTTGGCTCCCACAGCCTCTCCATGGTCATAGTTGGAGACACACCTGGCCCAAGCCACGGTGTCCAATGAGAGTCTTCCTCCTAAAAATTTCGACTCTAGTTAGTCTCCCCTGGGTTTTACAAGGATATAAGACAAGAAATAGTAAAGTCATATCTTCCCCGTGTACGCAGAAGGTTCATCAGTACAAAGAATGAAGCATATATCCACAGGGAAAGAGATGTAAGATCACGGGTCCTCAAAGAGGCCATTCACATAACCCCAATTGCTGACGGCTTCCCAATTCTAGTTCTAGTCCCTGGTAGGGTCTGGCTGAAGTATCAGCCTTTAGGTTACAAGAGATAACCATATGTCCTTGTAATAAATTCCTCTATTTACTTAGGCTAGCTCAAGTTATCGTTATTTGTCATTTGTTATTGCACTCCAAAGAGCCAAAAGAGAGAAAATAAGATAAGTACATCAAGAAATACTGAACAGCTTATAGGCGACTAAGGGGATAAGCAGGAAAGCATGTTACACCGCCACCACCAATGATCAATAATGACATGCCTGGAAATAAGTCAAACAGAGAAAGACATGTATCATATGACCTCACTGATATGAGGAATTCCTAATCTCAGGAAACAAACTGAGGGTTGCTGGAGTGGGGGGATGGGGTGACTGGGTGATAGACACTGGGGAGGGTATGTGCT